CTGTTTTATGCTAGGGTTTTCCAGGATAGATTCTTTATTTGCGTTTCAGCTCAGCTTCCAAATGCAATTATTACGGTAATGTTTTGAATTGTACACTAAAGGGTTGCTAAATTCTTAAAAGTGCATAACATAATAATGAAAAGTAATTAAAAATATATATGTTTAATTATGTTTATTAGTATACGCACCTTCTTCGGCTGAATGTATTTAGGAAATTCAGCAAATATAGTGAGAACTGCTCCATTTAGTAAACGTCTTTTACATGTCGTCTCATAAAAAAATATCATTCAAATTGTTTTGAACACAATCTATCATATTTGGCGTAGGCATCCAATTTGCAATTTTCGTTGCTTGAATCCAAAGACTTGTTTGCTGGATCTACACGAAATCTAAAATAAAACAACAAATAAACATTGCTGCAATTAAATAAAAAACAAAAGTAAATTAGAATTTAATAAAAGTTAATATTTAAAATGGTAGTACACGTACGACACTGGAAAAAATTACTTGTTTGGCCATTTTAACATCATTAATTGCTTAAATATCAATGAAAAGCCTAAAATAAATAAACTTGGTACGTAAAATTTATTACTCTGGAGTGAGACATGTATAATATGTAAATACCAAGTTGTATAATACCAAATAAAATGAAAAATATAAGAAAATATATAAAGTGAAAACGATTGATGTTTATCTTTTACCTGCAAAACATAATATCTGCTTATTTTTTGCCGCTATAACTTTAACACAGATATGCCACACAATAAGCCATTGTAATAACCCAATTATTAAGTGTGGTTTATTTCAAAAATCAGAAATAAACACGAACAGAAACTTTGGTGTTACCGAAATGATTAGCACCAAAATAATAGCGGCCAGTAGATAATCGGCACAGAATACTACGTGTATTCGATATACTTGTTACGCTACCTCTTTTTATTACCTAGTCTAAGATTATAACGTTGCTTTCTGACATTGACACGTGACTAACCTCAAATAAAACTGACTAAGAACACATACTTGAAAATCAAAGTATGTGGACCATTGATAAGGCAACGTAAGGATACGTCATATGTATTATTTTTGATATACAAAAGTGGGACCGGTAGGCGTGGCTTTTGCACTCACTAAAATGGCGGAAGAGCAGAACCGGATTTACAAGTTTTTATTGTACTATTTCTGGTTAAATATCATTATTTGAACTATAAAAAAAATAATTTTCTCTTTATTGACATTGACTTAAAAGGTAGTGGAAGGCCGAGGTTATAAAAGAAGGAGGTTTAAAAGCTTAAATATGCCCGGTTTTCAGCCGAAAGGTGCTGAATAAAGTAAATGAAAGAAATAAAATATAACTGATTTAATTATCACTCAAGTGGCTATTAAGTGCTGGAGAATATATTATTTGCAAAATTGCAACTAATCAATGACCATCATATAACTAACTTGGGGCCGATTCCACCATTGGGTTAAACGAAGTTTAAAATGACATTTTTACATAAAATTTAATTTTAATCTTCAATTAATGTTTTAAACTTTAACACAATGGTGGAATTAACCCTAAAGCGTTGAAATCATTCACAGAAAAAATAAATAGTACATTTTTGGTTCACATAAGCGACAAAAGTAAACATAGTTCGATTTATTGGATCAGTCGTCACACGTTTGCTCTAGGGCACATAAATAGCTCAATCTTTAGTTTTTCGTTTTTCTATGAGCCCAATGCTTCTGTCTTTATCGGAAAATACAAGGTCGCAAATGTCAAGTAAACTAACCATGGAGGAAGAATCTTTAATTAACAGCTTTCTCGAAATTAAGAACAAATATTCATTCATTATGGCTACTTATGTAAAGGCCTACCCTAATAACACACAACATGCACCACAAGCGTGCCGGTCCAATTTAATTGGTCTATGCACAATAATCATGCATGTATAATTGAAAGTCAGACAAAGAATGTGAAGATAAAGTTGAAGTCTCAATCATAATTAAAGTCACAGATGAAGTTAAAGTTAACAGCAAAAGAGTTGAAATTGTAGGATGGTGATAAAGGGAGGCCAACATCTAGGTAATAAATGTTTATTGAGTTAGGAAAAGTATCCACTGTGCTTTTCTTAACCACTAAGGTAAAAACCGGAATAATTTCTAATACACAATTTCTTCGCTAGGCAAAATAAGAAATAAATTTGTGAGAGTACTTCCCAAGTGTTTTTCCAAAAGCTCTAAGGACAAAATTGACGAAAATGGCCTAATCCAAGTTCAAATTCTAAAACTTGAACATTAAAGATAAGTATCTTACTGTAAAACAAGTAAAACCCCGTTGTTGACTAAATGGTTGAATAATTCATTACCTAGGTGGAGGTAGAACAGGGACTAGAGTTTAGCAGAAAAAGCTACTAGAAAAGGTGAACAAAACAGACTGGGGCATATGAACGTCAAACAAATATTGTAAATGCAAATAATGTGTGCTGTGATTAAATAAAAGTGTACAAGGAATAAAATTTTAATATTTTCTTATCCATATCTATGAGTGATATTTATTTTTAATACTAGACAAACGGTTTTGATTTTATTGCTAGTCTCATTAAAAAAAGACTAATGTTATTTTTTTTTTCGACTTATGGCCAAGGTGTATATACCTAATATGCCAGTCTCAAGCTTGTGTTTAAATTCTTAATAATTGTGTTCTGTGTAGGCTTTGTTACTATTTCCCAGCGCCACTTCAGGAACAGCACTGTTAATTATTAGAACCCAACAGTGAATGGTTGAGTGGGGAATCATACCAAGGCATTAGAAAATATTTTTATTATTATTAGAACTTATATACAGTGTGTTCATAATATGCACTGTACAAACTTAAATATTATATTCCTGAATTCATTTCAAGCATAAAATGTCCTATGAACAAATATCCAATTCTACATGGTTACCAAGCTGCAAGAGTTTAAATATCAGAAGATATATTAGCACAGTATGCCAATGTGTTCCAATATGTCGAAACACAGCACTGAATGTTTGGTGCTTTGGAACTTGTCGGTATGGAAATCGTCGCTTGTTGAGGAGCTGGATAATCTCGAGGTTTCCATGTTGGAGCAGTCGTTGTTGGTGACTACTGGCAAATGTTTGTATTGTATTTTCAACAGTCTCCACTTTAAGGTTCCTATGAAGATCAGTATTGTGGCAGTACCATGGTGCATCGACGATGTTCCTTAATACTTTATTCTGAAAACGTTGAATAACTTCGATGTCACTTTTACTGGCACATCCCCAAAGCTGGCGAATCGCTTCATTTTCACCAATTCCTTTAAACGCACTAATCTGAAACAAATTATAGGTAATTAAAAAGGTATATTAATATTGTTTTAAATTAACTATAATAAAACAAACAATACTCATGCATACACAAAACATGAAGCTCTACTTTTCAATCAGCTGTAGAACTAATAAATAAAATTGGTGGAAGGACCGCAAATGTAGGTTATATTTAAATAGAAATAAGAATATATAAAATGCCTATCAATTTGATAAACGAAATAGCGTACGATTAATGTACTTCTCAAGAAAATGCTTGGAACATATACAGCTGAATTTAGAAGGTTCCCAATTATGCTTCTTGACAAACTGTATTCACGCGCTAGGTTTTTCAGGATTTTTTGGAAATCTATAAATATTATTTCGTATGAAAAAGTATTTATTGCAATATAGATGGGCCCAAAAGTTGATAGATGATTTTTTTGCATTTTTAAAAGCATACTTTTACACATTTTATACAAACCTGTCATAATACTGTCCTGTATAATATTTATAATTTTTATACTAACCTATGAAACGTTATTCCAGTCGATTTTTCACAAAAACGTCTATCGCTAGAGCAGGAACATATAACACAGCAAGGCATTATATACTTTATAAGTTTTTAATACTCAAAATTTGCTCAAACACAAATTAAATTCAAATTTAATTACAAAATGACACTAAAAATATAACCTATAAAATTTGACAATTTGCACTCACAGTAATGGCGGACCGGTCCCACTTTTAGTTTACGCATGTCGTATCCCTAGGTTGCCAGATCAATGATGTGGACTAAGAAGCCTTAAACTAAAATGACTTAAAAGTCAAAACTAAAGGTAACACTATGTGGTGCTATGATGTCGCCACAACCCCTCGTTTAACAAATTGGTAAAGAATGTATTTATAAAGTAACACAATTTTAATATAGTAAACGAGATTTTCTTGATTCGGTTTCAACTTTACCTTGTCCATAACATCTATAGCTACGTATACATATGACGCACCTTGCCTGTGTCAAGCCTACGCTATGTTTGAGCCAACAACTAGCCCATTTATGCTGTAGGTCTAATGCGCGATGAGTCGTATCGGGCCTAATTAAATCCTATTCAGCCTGTTGTTGAGATGCCATCAAATCTATGGAAGGAATGACGGTGAATGAGATATTGTGGTAGGACCTTCAAATGGTGGTACAATGCTTCAGTGCCGCCAGTCTAGAGATAGATTAGGGTTATAGAACAAAGAATCCAAAGGGTGTAAAACTAACAAAAAAGTTACTTCCGGAACTTGTGAAATAAATTACCAGTATTATATATACTTTAAATGTATATAATGACTTGTAATAATTAGAATTTACAATATAAGCATTGTATAAGCATTAATGAAATAAGTATTAAGTATTAAATGATAGAGTCTTAAATCCCGTCTACCTTGAAAATGTAAGTAAATTCGTAGAGCAGTATATACCAAACAAACGATTCTTTTGTCTTTTTCCCATGAATATAAATTAATTATTCCTTTTTAAACCACCGCATCTTAAAAAACATCAATTCCAAATAGACTGAGGGCTGGAACATTAAACTAAAATACGCACCCAACGAGCGGAAAGTAGGCAGTGTCTATGCCAGTCCCATGCGGAATACAACGCGCGCGATCATTGCTCGAGAGCACGTGTTTTACCCGCATGTGATACAGCGGAAGCGTTGGACTATGCCAGCCACCAGATAAAACAATTAAGCATCTAGTGTTGTTATAGTGGCGTTTTTGTTGTGGTCCGCGAGGTGATCGGTCTTTCCTTGGTTGCTCGAGAGCCGGGATATTGCCGGGACACTTAGGTGATTTATCAATGGGGATTTTTTGGTTTTGTTAAAGGATTGTTGTAGATTGCGCGGTTTTTGTTCTTGTGTTTCCATGTTTTTCGCTCTGTTATTTTTTTTTCATCTTAGAAGTGATGTCGGATCAGATTGGTTTGTTGAGTTATTTTTTGTTTTATTGGTAACGCTTTTGTTGTAAAGTATCCGCATGATTGATTGAATGCAAATACAACGATAAGCTTCATTGTAACTCAACACAGCGTTTCAGTTATTTAAGTGGTTGATTTTATGTATGAAGTTAATATCAAAACTAGATTGTCATTTGGTCTGTTCTATAGAATAAAAATTGCCGTGCTTTTTGATTACCACACCATTTACTAATCCATTCTACATTTTCTAGCAATACATTCCTCTGTTTAACTCTAGAACGTTATCGTACGTAAAATTTACATATGTTTTTTAGCAAAAGAATTGTCAGGCGATATCAACTTGTAAAAATCTGTAGCTATCAATATTTAAAAGAGACATGTCTTGTTTTTGAAAATGTGGCATTTAAAAATTACACATCAATACCAAAAAGTATTTAGGTATATTTAGCAAGCTTATCTGATATCGTTAAGCTTAAAAAATCAATTAAAAGAAAAATTAATTTAAGGCTTTATTTCTTATCAACTATCGGTGCAATTAATTCCATTTTTCTATCACAATATAATAAACATAGATTGTATCAATTCACATGTAATTTAATCACAGAATATTCAAAAATCAGGTGATAAACCTTTAAAGTCTTGTCACGGCAATCACGTGAATAAAAAGGATATAAAGGCACATGCACACTATTAGAGGAGCCTTACCCATTGCAAATATCTATTGCTTAAAATTCGTATAGAATTTGATCAATTTGTTGTAATTTAAATTTAGAAATATATGCCAGAAATTATTTAAAAAAATTAATGCACTTAAAATTATAAATCAAAAATTAAAACCATAAAATTTGTTACGATAGTCATTTGGAAATGGAAATTTTAATAATTTTATTTAACATGACAATTAAAAAATTTACCAGAAATCTCGATCAAAGAAAATTAAGATTTAGCTTTAGGGCAATTTTTGGACTACGACTGTTGCTAATGTGTAACTAAGAGGATTATTGATTTGAAAATCATCGATTGTTCTAGAAGGCTATACAATTTTGAAATATAAAGACTTTTTTGTAAATTAAAAATAAATAACCTGTTAGTATTAAAAAACAAGATAGTGGCTAATAACTATTACTAGTTATTTATTGATAGTATTTCTTTTAATTTACGTTAAAATAATAGGTTTTTTTTTTGTCTATTAAAGCAATTCGTAATGTCTTCCCATTTATTTAACAAAAATAACGTCAAAGTCAATTTCCATGTTTACCTTGAAGAATATAACAAAAAAAAAACGTGTAGGTACGAACATATAACTTTAAAAAAGAAATATTATCTTACAGCTAATTTAAATTGGACGAGCAATAAAGCTGTCAACTTAATATCAGTTCGCGGAAAACGTCAACTTTGCGCAAACGCCTACTTTGGATTTTGATCGTAGAACATTTTTTTTCTACGACCACTTAGGAAAGTGACACATATCACACTATATAGTTCTATGGAAAGTGCCCTATATCACACGTGTATGAATAAGAATTTATTCTCCAGCGGTGTACGAATATGCTACTTTCCGCATCAGCTGTCGCAAAATGTCAAACGAATCTATGTAATGTCCATATTAATACTTAAATTGATATGATTGGTATAATATTGAAATTGTTGTAAATTAGATCCTAGATATTCATCCTTAACAATTATTATTAAAATAATTTTAAAATAACTAAGTTATGTTTGTTTTTTATTCTGGTTAAACACATAACCGATAAGATCATTCAAATGATGCAAGGCCTATTAGCTCAGGTGCTTAGAGCATCAAACTTCTTTAACTTTGCCATATGAAACCTGGCGAGCGACTGCCTTCAAATCCTTATTGGGGCAGGATTTCTTTTTTGTTTTTTTTTGTTTTTTAGTTTTTTAGTTTTTTTTTTTTTTGTTTAGAAAATATGAAAATTGAATAAATACGATTACTGTTGATTATTTTGTTAAATACATTTTAATTATTATAATAACCTGGTTTTACATTTTTTGATGAAATTATTTTGTGGTCGTAGGAAAAATATTGTACATTACTTGTGTGAAAAGTGATTTTCCACACTCGTGTGATAGTCGCACTCTGCTGGTGTCTCGTGCGACAATATTTCCCACTCGTGTGAAAAATATTTAAAATCATATGCATATCTACAAGAATAATTAAAAGGTACCTGTAATAATGTTACATCTAACAATGATTCATAATAAAGAAGTTTTCCATAAATAATAAATAGCAACTTAAAATAATTACCTTTGGTAGCAGTATCCTTAATTAGTTTATAGTGTTTAAAATAGAAAATAATGCTATCAATTTTTTTTGTGAAGAAAATTTAGATTTTTTTATAATCCTATGTGTCTTTAAATAAGGTTTTAATATTTTTGTGTTTTTAATATTGAAAAGGGCTGATTTAGAGATTACAACAAAATTAATTCTTATCGAACGTATTTGCTACAGAAAGTTGGTATGAATAAAATTATTATAAAATCTACCTATAAATAATTGAATTAAGAGTTTTTATGTTGATGAGAAAAATTTTAATAAATATTTAAGGAGTTGAGCACTCTGAAGTATTCTAGTTTATTTTAATTTAAAGGGCAAAAAATAAGTCCAACATATCGAATATTATATTACATTACGAGTGTGGAAAGTTACATTTTTCACACGAGTGTAAAAAATCTTTTTCACACAAGTGATGTACAAATTTTTTTTTCCTACGACCACAAAATAATTTTATCAAAGAAAATGTAAAACTAGGTTATCTGGCTGTAAAGGTTCTATCAAGATGTGGCTGGTTTTAGATTTTTTTTATATGCCTTATTGAATATTGAATAATTTTTAAAGCATTTTACAGATACTGTTTCATCAAAATTAAAAATATTTTGATTTCATTTACAAACAATTTCATACGATGATAAAGATAAAATAACATTAGGTACAAAAATATTAGAATAGGTACATTATTGTTTTTCATTAGTTTTTTTTTTTAAATATATAAGTTGATTAACAGTGAACTTTTTTTTTATTATTAATGATTACCCACTTACTCACATTTTTTTTCCAAACAGTAATTAAAATAGTTCAAAATAAATATCCACAAGAATAATTAATAAATAATTTAAAAAAATAAACAACAATTTTCATATTTTTCAAAATAAAAAATAGATAAAAAAAAGATAATTCATCGGGAATTGAACCAACATTACAAAATGGTCGCAAAATGCCAAGTTAAAAAAGTTAGACACTATACATCATTTGACTTATTTAATTAAATACGTATATGAACCAGAAAAAAGCAAAAATAAAATAGGTAGTTAATAAAATTCTTTTAATAATTTGTTAAAAATTCTGAACTCTATTATTATTGCGCATTATCTTTTTCTAAAATTATAATTTCTCTTATGTCCTTTTGCTATTATCTTATTATGTCTTTATTATGTTCTCTTGTTATGTCCTTATGCTATTGGTTGTATTTGTAGAGGTCAACTTAATTTTTTAAATGTGCCGCCACGTTTAGGTTGGCAGTGCCTACACTGATATTTAACACTTCCCTAGACTTGTCACTTGTCATATTTAGGTTGAATATATTAATATTTGAACAATAAACAGTTACTTGATCTTTTTAAGAAGTTTTACTTGATTTAAGGAAATAGAAATAAATACTGTACATTCTCAATATTTCAGAATAATGATTTATCCATATATTAAATTCATTAAACGTTTTCATTTTTAAATTATTATTCTATTCCATCGAAGCTCGTTAGATATCTTTTCTTTCATTTCCTCTTATGTTCAACTTCAAAAGTTTTTGATAGTTTAAATTTATCACTTTAACTTTCTTTTTCAAGCTCCGTGGTTTGGCATTACATGGATTTATTTTATTTTTTACCTCCATATTATTTTTTTTTTCCTTTTTTTTTCTTTCGGTTACATTAATTTTATTTTTTCTTTCCAATAAATGGTGCTGATATGTGCTAGAGAGAAAAGATTCCACATGTAAATTGCAACATTGGTGTGGTGTCATTTTTATGTATGCGCAAGTGCCATTTAGGTACTATTCACTTCAATATAGTCAGATTAACACCGAAGATTGTGTCTCGCCTACACTTTATATTTAGTCCGGTCAAATTGGACCAAAAAATAGGAGTGAGGGTACAAAAATTCCCACCTAGCTGAAAATTGGTACTTTTTTTTTCTGAGATATAATGATTCAAAAAGTTAGAAGAGTTGTAATCGTCGTACACCTTTACTTACAAGACATACTACAATAATTACACAACTTGATCGATCCTGAAGTTTACGAAAAATTTACAGAAAGATTTTTCACTGTTGAACATTCAGACAAATTAAGCTATGGAACTTCAACAGATATGGTGATAGAACAGTCAATGATGAAAGTTATGAAGACAGATGGAGGTATTGCTCAAGGGAGAAGTACAAAAGAGAGTGTCATAAGTAAATCGGTTTATAGTATGCATGCAATGAATACAGTTTGTGAAAGATTAGAAGACCTCGCAAATGTTAGAATGGATACGACCGAACAGCATGTTGATGCAAGTGATTCACAAGTAAAAAAAGATACAAAACATATACGGAAACTTCTTGAGTGGTTCTTCACGCATGATTATTTTCCAGAGGTTGACAAAATTGTATCTTTTGCAAGTGGTGTCATTGGTGATAGTAAAATTAATTGTTCGTGAAGTTGGGCTTAAATCTATGACAAAAATAACAGGACTAACATTTAATAATATTAAAGCACCATTAAAGTTCATGATGAAAAAGTACCTATTGACCCTGTATTATTGTTCCAACGAATGAGTATTACTGCGGCATTTCAAGATAAAATTGAAAAATATTTTGAATACGAATTGGCTCCCTATCCTTTATCATTGTTTGATGACATTGGAATGCGCAAAACATAAAAGTCTGCCACTTACGATTGTTTCCAAAAGGTAAATATTGATATTAACATCACAAATGCGACATATATCATTGATGGAGGATATTTATTACACCGCTTTGTGTGGGATAGCAAAGAAACATTCAAGGTTATCTTAGAGAAATACGTTCAGTATGTACGTCGACATTTTGGTCCCAGAATTACTGTCCTATTTGATAGCTATAATGACTTTACGAGAAATATTAAAGTTCCAAAACAACGTCGTAGAACTTTAGCAACATCTTCATCTTCTGATATTTTATTTGATCAATCAATGACAATTTTATTCCTACCAGTCAACAAAAATTTCTTGCTAACACTCACAACAAATCTTGGTTCATTTCAATGTTAAAAGAAAAGTTTGTTGCTGAAAATAAATTGGTAAAACAAACTAATAATGATGCTGATGTGATGATAGTTGAAACAGCAATAGAAGACTCGTTTGATACCAACGAGGAGACATGCGATGTATCACTATTCAGCCAATTTACATGTACCCAAGATAAAGAAAAAGAATTACAAAGAGAAAAAGAAGAAGAACGAGGAGAAGAAGAAGAACAAGTAGAAGAAGAAGAAGAAGCAGAAATCGATTTCTTGTGCCCCATATTGCCTCCGCCTCCCGGCAGCAACTTGGAAAAGTTAGCTGGCTTTATGTTGAAGTACAGATTTTTCTCTACCTCTGAATGGTTGGGATGGTACAACTTTACTTGTTGGGATGAACCCCCACGTGTTTTCTTAAAATTTAACCACCTTTTAGGAGTGGTTCTTTTATTTCTCACTATTTAAGCTTCAAGTTATGGTGAAGAACAGGGACCGGTTTGTTGATGTCCTTTTTGATTTAGTAAAATATATTAAATATAAAGTTTCATGCTACTTCTACAGTTTTTGACGAAGTCTCTGATGATGGCCTAATAGGCTGAAAGCGCTGAGACTAATATTACAGAGTTTTATAAATAAAACTCAATTTACACACTTTAAATAATATCGATTCATTTCTTGTTATTATAATATTTTTCCTACGTTATCGAGCAATCTGCTTCTGTCTTAACGATAATTATACTAAAACTGGCACTAAATACGCTCCAAATAGGTAAATTTTCTAAAACATTCATATGTGGTTTTCGAAGGACAGTTCAATGCCATTGAGAGAATATCTCACAAGACGCTTTAACAGTGTTATAATGGAGTAAATCATACACTACCTCAGAGGTGGCGTGGAAACGTGTGCATATTACGACGATTACAACTCTTCTAACTTTTTGAACGTTATATCTCATAATCGGTGGCTCTTAGGAAAAAAAATGTTAGACATTTTTTTATAGATAATTATCTATGCTTTACAATTTTTGTCAGAACTAATTTTGTGATAAAACTTACCGTTTTGCTGCGACCTTTGACCTTGAGTAAATTTTTTTTAGGTGCCGGATTGATAAGGACTTTTTAGGTTTAATTTATAATGGTGTTTTAAACAATCCTACCAATTTTCAGCTGGGTGGGAATTTTTGTACCCTCAGATGTCTAAATTGATCGGACTAATATTACAATAGCTATAAACTAAAAATGATATTAATACAGGAGGACCTAATAAAAATAATTTATTTTTTACTGTAGGTTGGATTTAAATTATTATTGAACCATAAAACTTATATCGTTAAGAAGCAATTGTTACTTGCTTTCCAATGATGTATAACTTGTAGAGGATTGTAATTAAGTTTCATTATTTTAGAGCAGTAATTTAAAAAATATATTTGAAAATTTTAAAAAACTGTATATTTTCTTTGTTTTGGATCAATAACCGATAGTTTTTTTGAAATTCTTTTTTAGCAATTAAAAAAAAATTTCAACCATCAAAATGTTTGGCCTGTTCCTCATTTGTTAGTACCAACAAACAAGATAAGCAGTGGATAAACATCTTGCTGTTTAACCCTACCAACTAAATTCGAGCAATCAAATTAACCCGGCAAGGGGAGGACAGTTTCTACACATTCTGTACAAATTTCTACACCTTTCTTAGTCATACACGCTTGTTTAATTGTCTATTAGTAACCCCCTCGAAATGAATATATTACAGGCCGAAACTCGTAGCTCGTAGAGAGTCAATAACGATGAAGCAGCATTTAATTTTCCATAATGTGGTCGAACCCTCAAACCATCGCCTCCCCCGATAATAAACGGTATATTAAACGACGTGTGCCAATAAGACCAAGAAATTATAGTTCGTTTCGAATCCTCTACGCCATCCGACATGGAATTGGAAGTGCCCGAGTGTTTTAGAAGGTATTTGTCGCTTTCAGACTAAAACTCTTCTTAGCGCAAATATTTTTACGACCCTAGTGAACTGGTACGTTGTAAATATGAGTGTCAACTCGGCGAAAGTGCCTTTTAGTTTGCTGAAACTTTTACAAGTGTGGATTATTATGATGTGTACTGGACCGATTATGTCAGGTTTGTAATTTTTATTCTCTTTTATTACGATTTCGTGAAACTACTTTTAAACGACTTTAAAAATATGTTGTGACCTATAAACAAGGAAAAATGATGACAATTTTAAATAAATATATTTAAAAGTTAATACTAAAATTTAGTTAATACGTCTCACAGCTAAAAATATAAATGGGAATACCTAAACTGATATGCATAAGAAGTACTTTAAAAAATACTAGCTCATTACAGATTGTTTTTGCAAATTATCAACCAATTTCTATATTGTTTAGACAAAACAGATCTATTTAATATTCGGTTTGCCTCAGTGTAGCAATTTTGAATATCTCCTGTTCAATGTTTTCATCGAATGTATCTGTATTTAATCCTATTAAGCTCATTATACATATACGTAATGTGTCTAATGACTCCTCTCAATTTGTCAAAATCCTGTAGATTGATAATGGCGTCGAAAGATATTTTTAGATATCCCAACTTTGTCCTCTTTCTAGATGAACGATTTGGGAGGGTGAATTTTTAGATAATTTTCTTTTTACCCTCCCACAATGTTCCTCTAACCTGCATTTTTTATTGCCAATTATTTACTTCTGCGTATATTTTCTTTTATTTCCTCCTCAGTCATCCTGATCTGAGTCATCTACGTATCTTCTTCTCTCTCCCGAGTTCCATAGTAACATGGACTTTACCGTTGACAAAATATGAATCATTTAAAGTTAATGATTGGAATAACACTACACTTTGGAACCTCCACTCAGTCTACTTCCTATAATTTAGAAGCATTTCACTTTTGGAAGGGGTTAAGTGGTGAGTACACACTGGGTAGTAAGAAATGAATCAAGAGAGTATAATAAAACGCTATAAAAAATTCAACTGAGCGCTTTCGGCTTCTTAAGCCATCATCAGAGATTCTATAAAGTGAAAAAAACGGAGCTGTTGCAATACAATCAACGCTCTCATAACTACAAAATAGAATAAAAAAAAATTATACACTCGTCATTAAAAACCTTAGAAGACACATGAAAAGTAAACTAAATTAATAAGGGACAGTAACAGACCAGTCCCAAGTCTCCACCATAGCTTGCAACTTAGATAATTGAAAATAGAAAAACCACACCAAAATTTGGTAACTGACCCAGTGTAAAATGTGGTTAAATTTTAACAAATGAAATGGAAGTTCACCCGACCATGTTGAACAAAACACTCCAGATACTTCTGAGAAAAAGAAACTGCTAGTCTTCCACATGAAGGCTGCAAGATTTTGCCAATTGCTTCCGTGGGGCAAAGGGAAGTTGGGGTACAAAAAATATGCACACAGCTTTTTTAAAAACGTGACCATCATGACAATGTACCAAAACAGAATGAGTGACAATTGACATTTGACAATGAAGTTATCAAGAAAAATGCTAACATGAGAAATTGAAATGAATTTCGTTAAAAATTGTCAAAAGGTCGATATTGAAAATGATAAAAGTGGGTTGGTACCACTGAGCAAGCAAGATCAAGTTAAGGCGGGACTTTTTAAATTTTAAACAGCAAAAGATTACAATGAATTAAATGGAATTATAAAATATACAGTAAATGAAGGTAAAAAACATATTTTTTTAAAAAAATTATTAAGGATTAAAAGGTGCCAAGCTGAAATCAACAGAAATGAGCAGGCCGGCCCCAGCGAAACCTAAGTCGCAGGCAGACCAGCTTTTCTAGCTAAAAGAGGAGGAAAAACCATCCTAGCTATGAAATCAGCAATCGCTGCAAAAGACAAGATCAATTCCGCTGCAAGAAGATTCAAGGCAAAGCTGACTAGGTAACTTCAAACCAACCGTTGCCAATACTCTTAAAGAGAGAAGACACTTTGCTATTGAGATGGATTTGAGTGTTAACACATGTGACATTTGGTTTATTAAGCTATCTGTGTATCTCAAGGTCTTCGAGCAGATTAAGTTTGAAGTTGCAATTAAAGATATTATGAAGAACAGTAACATTTTCAGAACGAGTGAAGTTATGATTGTTGAATTTAATATAATTTTCGAAAGTAGACTTATCTGGATATCTGATACGTTCACCAGTTCGTATGTTGAGTATCCTTTCTGTTTTTTCTATATAAGACGTATTACAATCGTTGCAGCTTAATCTGCAGATACCACTTTTGTGTAGCAACTCGATTTCATCCTTAGTATGTGATAGTTGGCTTTTATTCGAATTAACATTTTTAAAAGAAATTTTAATATTGTTGCAATTCTTAAAAACTGCAGCGACATCATTGGAAATTTTCCCGAGATATGGTAGTGAAAAATATTTTTAAAATTTTAAAAGTTAGTAAAAACCGAAAAAACAATCATGAATCAAAACAAAAAGAGACTTTCTTAGAATTTTAAATCAATTAATTTTTATAACAAATCTTTTAAGGCTTAGGCCCGTATGCACCGTACACATTTAATCCAGATCAAGGGCTTAATCGCGTTTAGTACCATAGTTAAAAATTGTACTAAACGCGATTAAACCCTTGATCTGGATTAAACGTGTACGGTGCATATGGGCGTAAATCGCCTATTTTGACAATTTTACTTTAACTTCACTCAAAATTGATATCTAATAGGGGGTTTTTGGTATTAATAGTTCTCGAAATCTCCATGAAAACAAAAAAAAAGGTTATTGACGAATATCTGAATTAAATATTATATTAAGATGTTTACTTTTTAATTCATTTAATTATTCTTATTTAAAAGAAGCAGGATATGTTCTATGTACATAAACAAAATACTCATTTATTACTTGTAGAAAGTATTCCAAAAACGTGCTACATCGGTAACAGAAACTCCACCATTCTTCCTTCTCTGGTTTTACTCCCATAATATTTAAGTAAAAAGAGACTAAACACAAATGCATAAAATAGCCCAAAAACGCTTTTGGCCGGCTATAATTCGTACGCAATAAAATAATCAATAATCCACAATAAGCTTGGGCCATAGACATTTTTGGCTTGGGCTTGAAGGTAGTGTTAAGTCAAACGTCAAATTTCACTTCATTCTTGTTAAATTTGTATTATGTAAGTTTCCGTCCGACTGAAAGACATCTTAAAGACGTCTTTGAGCTTTCACTTTAATATATGGATTTGGCAAGACGTCTCTAAGACGTCTTATAAACGTCTTTAAGCTCTTACATTAATACCTCTGAATTATGGATTTTGACAGACATCTTATAAGACCTCTTAATAACATCCTAGGACATTGAGACCAAACAAAGATATAAAAAGACGTCTTTTAGACGTCGTGTGCTATCTGGGTTATTACGATTTCAAAACCCAATGATTTTCCAATGCCAGGTATTTAAGAAGTTGTATCGATGCTGATGGTGAACCTTATTTTTGGAGTTCGTAACCTTTCTAGTAGAATTTTTAATATATATTTTTACTAGTTTAATGACTCTTTCTTTAAATTCATATTTAGTTTATAAATATTTTAATATTCAACAGATCTATGGCTAGTGTGGAATCTGTTATTTTATTTTATCGACTTTGTCTTTATTGGTACCAACTCTGTATTATTTTTGGAGACTTTGTGCGTTTAACTTTGTACCCCTAAATTTGATTGTTACTTTACTAAGAAAATTTAGTCTTTTGTTCATAATTGTTCAAAAATGGCAAGCATTTTTTCTTTTCAGTTAAATTCTTTAAATCCACATGTGTATATAATATATAAATAATATATAAAAATCAAAAGAACAATAATACATTTTATTATTCATTGTACTACAAATGTTTTTTAAATCAAAAGCAACAGTAAATGCAATTAAAGATTTTTTATAATTTCAATGAAAAACATATCTGTATAACTCTGCACACCTGCACCTTATTTCAAGCGCCTAAATACGATGTTTTCTTTAATGGAAAATTTCCAGTAAATTAAGTACTAACTCTTTTACACTCGAAAATCTGTTTCACTCTCACCAACATAAGTGAGTATAGTAAAAATAGATCGTTTAACGCAAGAGTTAAGGTTAACTAGTTTCTAATATTTTTTTACTTACGTGGATGGCTTTATTTGTAGTGACAATTTGTTCTCTCTCTGTCTCGAGTTCTATATGTTTACCATTAACTCAAGTGTTTTTACATTTCTTCAAGTTTATGTATTCCATGTTAAATATAATTATTTTTGTTTTTTCTTGTTTAAGGTCTGGCCCCATCATGTTTCCTCATACTACAAATATGTTCAATGTATCGTCTACTTATGCAATGACTTGTCTTCCTTCTCAGGTTCTTTTTAATAATGTGGCTTGTCATATATTCTAGTGAGGGATGGAACATTGTGGTTAATGGTGAATCTCCTTGCTTTTCTCCTTTATTAATTATAAATTCTTCCGTTCTTACTCTAGCAAAGTGGCTTTCAACAGTGGAAACTCAAAATATATTTTAAATAAAATATTTAACTTCTGACACTTTTTTATTAATCAATCAATACAATCAACTACTAGATAGCCGATACAAAAAATATAATAAATATAATATATATAAACTATAGTAACGACATTACATTTTGAGTAACTATAGCGACACTCCTCCATCAAAATGTAAGTCCTTGCTTTTTACCGCAACCAATAAATTTCGGCTTATCCAGTCGGTATATACTCTAGTTTCAGCAACGTCTATACCTTTCCTTTGTGGCTGTGAACTGCCTGTGGCAACTAAGCGAGTTTCATACTTAGCTGCTTTTCCATCTGCGTCTTTCTTTATTTTAAAAACCCATTTGCAATTGATCGGTTTTCTATCAACACGAAGATCGACCAAATCCCAGGGTCCATTTTTTAATAGAGAATCGTATTCGGAGTTCATTGCTTCAATCCATTCTTGACAGTCACTACGGCTTGAGGCTTCTTCTACACTTAATGAATCACCAGAATCGGAATTAGTTGCAGAAAAACTTGAGAAGTCTAAGAAAACATTTTGGGCTTTCAGCCTCTCAGAACGTCTAAGTGGAGCTTCTTTTTTCTGACTAATAGAAGATGAG